GCGCGCTGCCGTCGCCATACCGACTGAAGGAAAGGCACTTAATAACATAGACTCAGGGCGCGATAGTGAGCGTAATGTGCTTCGCTGATAATGACTGTGGGTGCGGGTGATCGTACGAGCTACTGAATTTACAAATATGACGTCACGCGACTGACGTCACCCATATGACGTCATGCGACTGACGTCACTCGAATGACGTAAGGCGTATGACGTCACGCGACTGTGGGCAGACGAAGCGAGGTGCTGTGCGTTGTTAGCGGGACTAGCATTCGATTTATATCGTACGCGTGCGATACAAGAAGCGGAGAGAGGAAGAGGAGGAGGAAGAGGAGGAAGAGGAGGAGGAGGAGGAGGAGGAGGAGGAGAGTAGAGAGAGGATGGAAGGAGAGAAGACCACGATTTGATCTAACAGAGAAATAAGGACGCGAGACGACGACAGCAACCATTGTCGTCGGCGACGGCGACGACGATGACGCGAAGCGATCACGTGACCAGATTTCGGAACGAGAACTAATACAGATCGCCTAAACAGAACAAGACACGGGTAGACTAAGGTGCGCGCGTGCGTGTGCGTGCGTGCGCGCGCGTGCACAGCGCACACGACACGCAGTGGTACGTACGTGACGAGCAACTAACGACTAAAATGTATATAAATTGCGTATTAATACGGAAAAATCGAGACACGGGTAATTTCGCGGGCTCTCAAGCCACCTCACGTCTACCGTCAACCCGAGATGTGAAGATATGCAATTCTAACACGTAATATTGTTATAATATTATACTCGATAGCTATTACACGAGGGACGCTGCCACACGTGTATCGCAAGCTGAGATATAAAGCAATATATCTCGATAGTTCATATAATATTTACCCCGTATGACAAAAGCGCGTGACGTCATGAAATGCCCCATGGGGAATCGAGCCATGGGCGGGGTGATCATAAGCTCTCCCCCGGGACTTGATGCATTGCGCTGGTATTTCATTATCGTTATTATATCTATATGAGTTCGTTTAGTTAATTATTCAAGTTATTCTATAGTTTATAGACCGTTCAATCGATAAAATACACAAAAGTCAAGAAAGGCATGCCGGGATTGCTTGCCACGAAAGTTGCAAGCACCCGGTTAAAGTCACCTATAGTACTGCGACCATCAAATAGCCAACACCTGGACAAAATTCCGTAATTTCGATACTGAATTCTACTAGATCTTATAATTAGCTACACAACTAGTCTTAGAATACAGAAAAGCGGGCAAATATCCCCTGAATCGTAAGTAAATCGTTTTTATACGGTGGTCGCAATGATTTCGCGCGTACACGCGCCCCCTGGCGGACGCGCATAACACGCACGGTGCCGCCCTCTTTGTTTTCCATCGGAATTGATCAACATTATTATGAAGTACGGTGAGCAAATGGTAACAGCTATTCCAGCAATTACATGCCGTGACAGCCAGCATACAGTATACCAACATCGCAGAAAACACTTGCTGGTGTGTGTGTGTGTGTGTGTGTGTGTGTGTGTGTGTGTGTGTGTGTGTGTGTGTGTGTGTGTGTGTGTGTGTGTGTGTGTGTGTGTGTGTCGTGTGTGTGTGTTGTGTGTGTGTGTGTGTGTGTGTGTGTGTGTGTGTGTGTGTGTGTGTGTGTCGTGTGTGTGTAGTGTCGTGTGTTAGTTGGTTGTTT